ATTTAAAAATCCATTGAAAACCCTTGTTTTGGAAAACTTTAAGAAAAGATAGTTTCTAAATTATTTTTAAAGGTGCAGATGTTAATTTTCTAATAGATGCCACACATTTTTTTCTGGTGACAAAGTCACGTTTTCAATCTTCAAAATGACTCCTCAAAAGCCCCAGTTGCTTTTGAAACATTGTTGCTTTCTCATTTCTTGTTACTTAGAAGGAGCAGATTAAATATGTTTACTTTTTTGAAAATACATGCTTGGATATAAACTACTTTCTGGCATAAATTTTCATAGTGTATGTGTGTGCACTCAGTTGTGTCCAACTCTGCAACCTCACTGACTGTAGCCCACCAGGCTCCTCTGTCCATGGGATTTCCCAGGCAAGAATACTGGAGTGGGTTGCCAGTTCCTTCTCCAGGGGATCTCCCTAACCCAGGGATGGAACCCTCTTCTCTTGGGTCTCCTGCATTGGCAGGTAGATTCTTTACCACTGTGTCAGCTGGGAAGCTCCAAATTTTCATAGAAAGGTCAGTAAATTTGAAGTACTTTTAATCAGAAGAGTTCTGATTTTAAAAAAAATGCTAAATTCCATCTCTAAATTCACAACTCTTCAAAGTAATTTTTCATGAGTTCACCAGCACATTTCTATGACATAGAAACAGTTTTCATAGTCACTCATCATCTCATTAAAAATGTACTGTAAAGATTCTTCTATATTTTACTGCTCTTGCTTTAATGAAACGAACCACACCAGAGACGTGTTACAGCACTTACAGTACAATGCATTAGCAGTTAACTGGCAGCAAAATAACCAGTGAGGTTTCCACCGCTAGCCCCTCCTTACACAGAGTATCCATGTGGCTTGTGGCCACCAGACACCGATACAGAGAGGTCTTCACTGTTGGCCAGTGTATTAAGTAATAGAACATTTATTTCATTTTAGCTGAAACTTAAATGTATAGTTCTAATATTTCATTCCTGCACCCACAAAGGATTAACTTGCACTTCCTTTGGGGTACACATAATCCTCTTTAGGGAACACTGACTTAAAGAATATATTCCAATTCATCTTTTCTTCCTTTCAGAGCTGTATTCACCATAATGTAGCATCATTTCCCCATAGTGTTGCTTTTTCATCATTGAGTGTGAACTACACACAGCTGCCCATTCTCTAATGTCTTCCATGTATTTCACTGCTTTCCCTCTCTCAACCTCAAGACTCACAAATCTACCCAGAAAAGTATGAAATGAGAACACCATTTTTGTTTCCAAAATTGATGCTAATTAAGATATAGGTATAAACATTGTCTATGATTGTAAGATACTGGGAACAACCTAAATGGTCGTACGTAGGAGAGAACAGGACATTACACAATAGAGTACTATGCAATTATAAGAGAAGGCAGAACCTCTATGAGCTGATGCAGAGTGATTTCCAGGATATGAAGGTGATGACTCTGTTTTCTTCTTTGCCTCTAGTTCCTAGCTCAGAACCTAGTAGGGAATAAGTAGTCAGTAAACTTTTTTTTTTTAATAACTAAAATCAGGCAACATCAAGCAACCAGAATACAGTCTCAATTCTGGAAGAACACCCAAAGGTCTCTGAGCAGCAAATAGCCATCACAAAGTCTAAGTGAGTGATGTCATTTAGAGGGGTAGAATAGCCTTCATGACTTCACCTAAACAGTGATGTAAAGAATGAAGCAACTGATTAGAAGATGCAGGACATGCCAGGCCCGGAGAAATCATAGGCGGAGTAAAGGCAAGAGGCAGAACCGTCAATGACAACAACTACAAAGTGGACCACGAAACATCGAGAGGTCTGTTAAGGACTCCCTGATAATGCAACATGGACACTGACCCTGATCTATTCCAGGAGTCCCTTAAGCATCAACTATAGTATAACATGATGCATACCTGTGCCCAAGTGATGACCTCATCACCACATCCACTTATTTATTGTCTATAGACCCCCTTCTTGGAAACAGACATGAGGCCACTTGTTATTAAGAAAAATTAAATCACATTTCATATGTTCTGACAAATTTCCATAAAAAATTTTTATCAACATTGGTAAAATAAAAAACTTGGCCAATCTCTGTGATGCAATTTTAAAACATAACATTGCCTCTGGAAGGATAAAGTTTCTGGCAATTTTGGAAAATGAACAGAAACTCTTTTTCCCATGGTCATACCAGTGACCGTGGTCATACAAGGTGATCATACAAGGTGCCATGGCTCCAGATCAGGGGAGATGTGAGGAGAGGGGAAGGGTGCTGGGGGAAGGAGGTGAGGCACGGGAAAAGGAAAGCTAGTGTGGCCAGGTGGGAGCTGAGAAACATAACAGCTAGGACAGCTCTTTCTGCCAGGAAAACGTCTGCAAGGCCCCCAGGGCTGCCCCTGAAGCCTCTGCTCTGGGGCACAGGCCCAGCCCAGCTCACAGGCTCCCCTTCCTCCCCTGATCAGGCCTCTGGCCTCCCCCAGGTCCTCAGATGCCTCCTCACTGGGCAGCTCTCTGTGCAGCTGAGGCCCCTGGGCCCCCAGCCCTGTCATCCTTGCCCTCGGCTACAGCTCCCAGCCTGCTCCGTGTTCCGGCCGCCCCGCACCCCGCCCCCCAGCCCAGACTGCTCTGTGCTTCCTCTTCTCTAATTTCATCTCCCCCTCCTCCCCCACCCACCCCAGACCTTTTCACTGTGTCTTCAGAAACTCCTGCGCCAGGGTAGGCACAGTCAAGCCATATTTCCCACCTGTCTGGGCCTTAAGTGAAATCTAAAGACCTTGCTTCCCCTGGGGCCCTCTGTCAGGAAAGTGGCTCATTCTCCACACCCTGCAGACCTTGAAGCCAACCTCATTTGCCAAGGATGCTTCGGCACCACTGTCTTCTATCCCGACTCTCTTAAGTCTGACATCACTGTGCTCTACCACCTCCTACGCCTCTCATCTCTGTCACTTAGCAACCTTCTCCATTTCCCCAAGCGCACTGAAACTGATCAGGCTCACAGTCTCCCTGTCCACGCCCTGGTGACTTCAGTTTCCATGTGGACAGCCCGGCCAGCTCCCAGCCTGACTCTTCATTGACCTCCTCAAGGTCACCACCAGTCTTCTCTGGCCGCTTCTTCCATGGAACCCAGAGTCTTCCCTGCAGGAGTTCTGCTTTCTGGCCACAAGGCACTCCTTTCCACTTTCTTTTTTTTTTCTCAAAAAATGCTCTTTATTCATTCACATATATTACTGCCTTTAATTCTCACTTCATTTCCATGAACAGAGAACACAGAAAGATAATTATTCCACTTCACAGACAGAAAGCTTGAGATCCACAAAAATGTACTTCTTCCCAATTAACAGTGAGTAAACAGAAGAGTGAAAACCAGCTCTATGCTTCAGCTCTCTAACTTCACCCTTCTTTCTCAAAGAGAATGGAGAGTGGTCAGCTCTCATTTTCATTTATGTTTAAAGTTATTAAAAATATCTTTAGCAACAAACTTGGAGAAAGAATAACCAAAATTCCACACTTTAAAACATATAGACATTATATTTACATGTAATTTTTCATATTAACTCATTCAAAATATTACTCTAATATTCCAGATGTTGGTGAAACACCTAGGAATTTTAGCATTTTGTCTTGACATCATGCAAACTAGTCCTAACCACTTTCGACCACTACTGATACTAAGAGACATTCCACCAGTAATTATTCATGAAAAATCTGAGTAAATTCATTGAAACAATTTGAGTAAATTATTTTGGGTGCAGGATTACATCCACTAAAATATGTCATGGAAACAAGTTGGTCAGTAATAAATTTGTAAACTGCGGTGAAGGTCAGGCCCACTATTAACATGGACTATCTCAATATCAATAAAAGATACTTTTAAAATAAAGACAAAATAATTCAGGTGGCCCAAATACATATACTTTTGTTACTATGATGATTAATAACATGGGCATCTGTATCGGGATTTTTAAATGTGGCATGTGGAGGAAGAAATAAGGTACAAAACCAGGGAAAACTACTTGTGAAGAACAAGGCTAAGATTGCTACTCAGAGAATGAGTAGTACGTCCTCCTTCTGGGGCAGGTGAAAAGGAGAATCAGTATGTGTCTGTGTCATAATTATTCAAGTCAACACCTCATCCCATGAAGTAGAGCTTGTGCTCTTGCTGGCTGAACAAACAGATACTCAGTTGGGTACTCTAGCACGACTTTGATGTGACATCATTCTTAGAGATTGATAAAATATCAGACATTCTTTTCTCACATGCACACACACACATAATCATAGAGATGATTCTGCAATGAAGAGACCATCTGAAATCAGTGTTTACCACAAATGCACATGATCCAGCTCAGGAGAAACCCACGCACTCCAGAATCCCCAAAAGGCACAGTATGTTTCAGAAAGCATCATTTTCAGTTCTGGTTATTGGTTTTCTGAATGGTGACCCTAATCTGCTTTTCAAGTTTCAGTAACTTTTGGTAAAATTTTTCAGCAGTGTCTTCATCTAGGTCCATCTTTTTGGATGTCACATAATTGCTTCCAAAGCCAGTGGTGGCACTCAGATATTTCACCAGAGGATTGAGAGACTCGGGCTTTTGGTGGAAAAGCCAGACCAGTGCTTCTGTTCCATTGTGAGGTGTCAACGTGAAAGCATTTGCAAAAAAGCGTAACAGCCATGTGATTGGCATGATTAACATCCACACAAAGGGAGGAAGGATTCCATATGTCAGACTGGTCAGCATCGTACCTGGGCACACGACACTGGAATACAGACCCTGCTGGTTGAAGTTCCTGTTCAAAGCCACACTCAGAAGGTCAATGGCATATTTGGAAGAGCTGTAGGGCTCCTGGCCTCTGCTGTGCTGGACATCCTCAAGGCTGAAATTAGATTTCTTTGCATTGCGAGATGATGTCCAAATGAGCTGAGATGGACTCTCATGTGACATAGGAGAGATTCTAGTTCCTGAATCAGGATAAAGTGGCCAAAGACATTGGTTTCAAACACCTCCTGGAGCCCATCAGGAGTAAGCTTGTCATTCTGTGTCAGCAGTCCTTCAGCTGTGGAGAACATATGAATCACGTTTCTTGAAAAGAGACCATGAAAAAGTGCTTTGATATTTAGCTGTGGATTAGGCATGATCCCAGCATTTAGATATACATAGTCTAATCTCTGAAACCTTTGCTTGAGCTCCTTGGTGGCCTGGAACACCGACGGCAGGCTGCTGACATCCACCTGCAGGATGGAGACCTCAGCAGCGGGATGGGAGGCCAGCAGAGAGGTGCGGACAGCTTCTGCTTTGCTCATGTTCCTGCACGCCAAGCACAGGTGAAGCGCATCATCTTCTTCCAGCAACCGTCTGCAGAGGGCTAGGCCCACGCCACTGCTCGCCCCGGTGATCAAAACCACTTTCCGCATGGTTGCGCACCCTGTGACCACGCGCCCCAAAGCAGGCACCCAGCAAGGCCTCTCACCTGCACTTAGACCCGTAACCCCCTCCCTTCCACTTTCCTGCTAAGCCTTCTCTTCAGTCGCAGAACAACTTCCATTCTGAGGTTCCTCTGGTTTCTCTCAGCCTGTTGAGACCCACTTCCCTTCCTTCCTTTCAACCTGGTCCCAGAAGAATCTGGGTCTGGCTTTCACCACTGAAACTGCTGTAACTAAGATGGCCAGTCTCCTTGACATTGCCAGATCCAAGGGACATTTTTTCATCCTTTCTTTTCCTGGAATTCTCTGCTAGTCATGATACCAGTCACGCCCTCCTTGAAATACTTGACCGTTTGGCTTCAGGATCTCACCCTCTCCTGTTTGTTTCTGCACCTCTTACGACAAATCTTTGCTGCTGTCTGTGGACTTCTCTATCCTGCCCCTGTTGTGAATGTTGCTGATTCCTCAGGGCTTGCCTTTGGCTCTTGACAGGAGCAGTGGGCTATTCAAAGGAGCAGGGTTTGTTTATTTAGGTGTCCAATTCCCTGATTGCATGCTCATCATGTGTGCAGTACAGCGAGCCTTCCTTTCCTTGCTCCTTGGGTTTATCTTCACCAGCTCCACAAATGCTGATGTTCCATGGGGCCCTGTACTTGCCCCCGACTCTTTAACAATGTGCACTTCTCTGGGTCATGTCATTCACATCTCATGGTTTTAGCTGTCACACATGAATTGAAGAGTATTTCCAGGTCAAGCTGCTCGCTGAAAACTAGGTTTTGTGACCCAGCTGCCCTATGGAAACTTTCACCTGGATGTCCCATCGGTTCCTCAAACTCATTATGCTCAAAACAAAACTCGTCACCAAAGGAACACAGACCTCAATTATTACTAGCATTATTCAAGACATTATCCAAGATGTGGGAACAACCGAAATGTCCACTGACAGATAAATGGGTTGAGAAGATGTGGTGTGTATACACACACACACACACTGAAATATTACTTGGCCATAAAAAAGAATGAAATTGTGCCATTTGCAGCAACATGAATGGACCTAGAGATTATCATATTAAGTGAAGTAAGTCGGAAAGAGAAAGACAACTATCATATGATATCACTTATATGTGGAATCATTAAAAAAGATATAAATGAATTTATTCCAAAACAGAGACTCACAGACACAGAAAACAAATTTATGGTTACCAAAGGGGAAAAGGGATGTGGGGATGAGGAATAAATTAGGAGGTTGGGATTAACATTTACACTTTACTATATGTAAAATAGATAACCAGCAAGAACCTACTGTATAGCACAAGGAACGCTACTCAATATTTGTAATAATCTACAAGAGAACAGCATCAGAAGAAGGAAAAAAATATATATATATATATATCTGAATTACTGTGCTTTACACCTGAAACTAACATGATATTGTAAATCGACTATACTTCAATCTTTAAAAAATAAATACAAAATCCCCCACTGCACTTGTTATCTACCTGTAAGTCTCTTCTTTTGTCTCAAACCTAACTCAAGGTGGAGATGTGAGCTCCATCCACGGTCTCACATTCTGCTGTCACCATGGATATGTTCCTTGTACCCATCTCCTCATCTTGACCTTAACTCAAGCCTCTACCATCTCTCAGCTACTTTACTACAGTAACCTCCCAGCAGGTCTTCTTTCTTCAGCCTTCTTCTGTACTGCTGACACAAATGTAATATAATTCAGATTTTGTTCCCTGTTTAATCTCTTCTAAGCTATTTAACATGTTGTTTAAGACCCTCGATGAACAGGTCCCTGCTTAATTCTCTAGACTAATCTCCTTCTACCACCTGCCTGATACTTTCCAACTGAGTAGCATTTGTTTTTCCTCTGCTTAGAATAGCTCTCTTATTCCCTCATTACCTAAGTTAGCTCCTACTCGACCTTTAAGATTCAGCTTGGCTGTTCATTTCTCTAAGAAGCTGTCTCTGATGTGCACCATTCCTCTTCATCCCTTCTCCCTTTCCCCTAAAACTGGATTAGTTGTCTCTCCTCTGATAGCCCATAAAGTATTGTTCAAAGTCTATCTTGGTACTAGGTGTGTGATATATAAATACTCTTTTTACATGTCTCCCTCATAAGACTACGTTCCCTAAGGGCAGGAATTATACCTTATTCTTCTTTAACTCTGATACCTTGTATTGTATTTGCCTCATTTGATCACTAAATGAATACTTGTTTTTGAAGCTAAGTAAGCCAAGCAAGGACAAATGTATGCATTAGAGGGGTGATGTGGAGGGGGAAGAGGCCACGGTGATGTGCATTCTGCTTTGGTTTCTGTGGTTCTGTGACTGCCCCGGTGCACTGGCTTCTGCTGAATCAGCTGGAAGCCACTGGAGAGCAGGACTAGCCACCACAGTTAGTGCCAGTGAGGGGACTTCCATCTGAAAAGTTTCCTCAGCCTTCCCCCTACTCCCAGGCTGCTGGTGTGGCTGTTATCCCTTATGATAAGATACCCAACCAGGCCCTGCCCCTGATCCACTTCGTTCTCCTTGATGGAAAGGCCACTTTTGTCCCTGATGACTGCAGTGTTCCCCAATGTCACAACTCGGCCAAAGTGGACCATCTCTCTGTACTTCTAAGACTCCTTCAATCTGTATTTAACTCCCTATCTCTAAAATCAAGTGGATGCTATCATCAATATGATACAATTTAGTAAATATATAGTATCTTAGATAGGCTTCTATTCTATTTTTTTTTTTTTCACATGGCTATCATAATTGACCCAATCCATTTGGTGAAAAACAAAGTCTTCCTGAAGTTGGGAACCATGTGTTCATGGTACTTACTCAACAAGTACAAAATTTGCCAAAGTACAAAATATCAGATCTATACCAGGCATTGAGAAGAACAGCAATTGAGATGCAAGCTCCATCCTCAAAAGACTCAGTCTATCTCAGTGTCTGTTAAGTGGGACATATGCAAGCCACGGAGAAGAACAAGAACATCTGTTGAAATTTGGGGAGAAAATATTCTAATTTCTTACATTTCTAATTCCTCTTTCTAATATTCTAACAAACTTTTCATCTTAAAAAAGAAATCAAGACTTCCCTGGTGGTCTAGTGGTTATGAATCTGCCTGCTGATGCAGGGAACACAGGTTCAATCCCTGGTCCGGAAAGATCCCACATGCCGCGGAGCAACTTAGCTGCCGTGACTGAAGTCAGGATGCTCTAGAGCCTGTGCTCCTCAATGCGAAGCCCACCTCAACGCGAAGCCCACACACCACAACTGGAGAGTAACCCCCACTCGTCACCGTTAGAGAAAAGCCTGCGTGTAGCAGTGAAGACCCAGTGCAGCCAAAAATAAAGATAAATTTAAAAATAAAAAAAAGAAATTAAGTTTTACTAACATTTAATGTGAGAATGGATCTTGGTTCCCTCAGTTGATATTTATCTCCTATAATCATAAGTCATGTGTAGTATAAGAGGATCCTTGGGGAAGAGTGGGATGTATCAAAGCTACAGGGGTTGTCAGTGGAGACCTCAGTCATTTAATCACTTTCAGTGTACTGTGACACATTGCAGCTCGATGTGCTTGGTTAAGAGGATTTGCAATTATATTATCTAGCTTTAAGAAAATTAACCCTCACAAAGAAACAAGTGGCTTAAAAGATTCATTTAAAGATGCCATAAATTAAACATAATACCAATAATACAGGCACAAGGAAACAAAAAAATGATAACCGTCACTCTGTCCACTGCTAAAAGGACCTCTTCATCAACCATGTTTTAATAAAAAAGAACAATGTTGATCTAAACAGATCCAATAAGAACATGTCCAAAAACTCTAAATTATCAAGAATGTTAATTAATTTGTAATGAAAGTCAATCTGAGTGTATCTTTTACCTTGAGATAAAGCTAATGATAGCTCAATGCCATGACAATAACCAACATTTTAAAATATTAAGCACTAAGTTTCACTTCTGATTTAGATGTAAAAAGCTGCAGAGAATGTTGTTTCCATTCTAAAAATGAGAAAAAAAAAACAAAAAACTGAAACCCTAACTTGTATTGAACCTATTAGAGAGCTGAGGTCATAAGACAATAGGACAACTCGTGTTTCAAACTTTTTTTTTCTGCCTCATTGTGTAGCTTGCAGGACCTTAGTTCTCTGACCAGGGATCGAACTCATGCCCCATGCCTTGGGAGCACGATGTCTTAACCACTGGACCACCAGGGAAGTCCCCCAAATCCTTCTAAGGAGAGACAGAAGACATAAACTCTCTCACCCACAGCAGATCACTCAAGAAAGAGGTACCATCTATGACACAAGAGGACAAAGAGAAATAACTACAAATTTCTGAACTGCCAAAGGCCAAGTGTGGGCTAGCATGTCAGTTCAGAATAATGAGGGCCCCAACCCAGAGGAGTTTATATTGTTCATAAGCCCTTATTTTTGGACCTCTACTGAGTGCTTATGCAAAAGACTAGAGATAAAGCATGTACACAGAAGGTAAAACTAACAAGTGTGGGGTCTGACACAAAACGCCATGCACTTCCCCAGACTCTTCTTGCATGTGAAGCAAAAACGGTAAGTTCTAGGGGAGGAGCAGCAAAGATTGTTGCTCAAGACACAGGAAAGAGATGCACTGTGGGAGGAAGGAAGGGCATAAGAAGAGACTATCTCTAGGGGAGAACCACAAAACCATCGTGAGCATCAAATCCTCAACTGATAAAGTAGAAATTTCCTACCACTGGGAGAGGGGAAGCTGCCCAACATTAGGCATACATACAAAGCAGAATTTGGCTGCCATCAGGAGAAAGAGCAAAATGCAGAGAGGGACTGCACACCTGAGGCTCAAGTACATAGGTTCCTCCTAAGACTCAGACTGGGGTAGAATGACAGAGAAGGTCTCTTGTCCCTAATGGAAGTAACAATGCATGATCTGTCCAAGGCTGAGTCTGTGGCGAGAGATCTTCTCTGTGATGCTGGCATGCAAGAAAGCTAAAAGCTGATGGTGGACCACCAATCCTAAGAACAACCTCTGGCATAACAGTTCCCATCTGAAGGACAAGGCAAAGACTGCCCACTACTAAAAGAATTTGACGTCTATGGGGTACTGATGGTAAGCATAGCACCAATAAAACCCAAGTCCAGCTCAATTCCCAACTAGATTGACTCTCCTGACTCGGCCCTCCATATTAATGACCTAACAGAAGAACAGTCATGCTTATTTCCTGGCATAAATCATATTTATTTTATTCTCTCTTGTGCCACAAGCAATATATGGTTTTTACTCAAAAATATCATACACACACACACACACACACACACACACACACACACACCCTGCTGTTAAGAGAGAATGCAATAAACAGGAGAAAACTCAGGTGACACCCAAATGTTGAAACTACTAGACAGTGACCTTACAGTAACTATGATTAGTATATAAAAGGGTATGGTGGAAAAGATAAACAACATGCATAAACAGATGGGGAATTTCAGGAAAGATGGAATGGGTAGAAATGAAAAACCCAATATTGGAGATGAAGAATGCCTTCAGCATGTTCACTAGTAGACTGAACCAGCTGAGAGAATCATTTAACTTGAAGATCTGTCAATAGAAATTATCTGAACAAAAATCCGAAGTGAAAGAAGAATAAAACAAGGACAGTAACAGCAAGATAACAGACCATCCAAAAGAGCTAGAACAGTATTAAACATTATAACATACTTGTGCTTAGAGTCCCAGGAGGATAAGAGAATGGTTCAGTTCAGTTCAGTCACTCAGTCATGTCCGACTCTTTGCGACCCCATGGACTGCAGCACTCCAGGCTTCCCTGTCCATCACCAACTCCTGGAGTTTACCCAAACTCATTTCCGTTGAGTCGGTGATGCCATCCAACCATCTCATCCTCTGTCATCCCCTTCTCCTCCTGCCCCCAATTTTTCCCAGCATCAGGGTCTTTTCAAATGAGCCAGCTCTTCACATCAGGTGGCCAAAATATTGGAGTTTCAGCTTCAGCATCAGTCCTTCCAATGAACACCCAGGACTGATCTCCTTTAGGATGGACTGGTTGGATCTCCTTGCAGTCCAATGGATTCTCAAGAGTCTTCTCCAACACCACAGTTCAAAAGCATCAATTCTTCAGCACTCAGCTTTCCTTCCAGTCCAACTCTCACATCCATACATGACTACTGGAAAAACTATAGCTTTGACTAGATGGACCTTTGTTGGCAAAGTAATGTCTCTGCTTTTTTTTTTTTTTTGAAATTTCCAATGTACTTTATTAAACTGCTAATTAGAGCCTAAGTAATTATAAAGAAAATACACAATGATATTCAACCAGAGGTTATGTTTCTGGACATACTGACATAGTAAACATACTTTTCTTTAAAAATTTTTAATTCACCTAGAGACTCAATACTCAGGCAGGTACATTCTGGTTAAAAATATTTGTTAAGATAGGTGATAACTGGTCTATTTTAATATTGACAACTGAGATAAAACTACAAACTGTCAGGCAATGTTTAGGGATCTAGAATCAACTTGTCAAAAAAGTACATTTTATACCCATAATATCATTGTTTTTGCATGATTATCCTTTCCATGGATTATTTTTTCAAGGTTATCACAATCTGTTACTGGCTTCTTGTCTAAGAATTTACAGGTTTACAGGGCCTGAAAATGAGGTCGTCAGGCAAATGGCGCACAAACCACAGACCATGTCAGGACCGCAGAGCCGCTGCACTCCCTGACGGACGGGAGTCACTTCCGGGAGCGAGTCCTCCACGTCCTGACAGCCACGTGCTGACAGGCAAGGCTGCTGAAACTTAATTACTTAGACATACAGAGGTATCAGTCTGTTTATAAAGATTTTCCATTAGACATTATTATAATTTTTTTTTCAGGTAGAAAACTTGGGTTTTTCAACTTTTACAGTCATAAAAGTATTTCCCCTGGGATTTCCTTCACCTAGAGAAGATACCCGTATCATTATTTTTAAACAGTCTTCCTAACTTTTCAAACTTTACGAGCCCTAACCCCCTCCCCTCATGTGAACATAACCAGATCAGCTGTAAAAGAGCAGTGCCCGGTCATGACGGCAGGCTGCTGTGAGAACAGGCAGTGCCGTCCAGCCCAGAGGTCAGTAGCAGCCTGGGTGTTCCTGAGAACGCACTCGAGTCCCTTCGGGGCTGCAGCAGCTCCAAAGCCAGCCTTCCCCGTGGCAATCGTCCAGACTTCATCCACCGTGCTCCTCTCATTTGGATCTCAGTGCTTCCTCCCACTCAACAGCCGACTCAGAGTTCTTGGGAATTGCTGGAAATATTGACTGCATTTTATTTCGAAAGTCTTTCATGGGAGGTGGATAGTCTTTACCGTAGGTGACAGTAGCTCCACACCAATTCATTCTTTACACCTAGATGGTCCTATTCACACAGCGCTGCAGTCTTCTCATCAACCATTTCCCAACCGGGCTTCCCCGATGGCTAAGCGGCAAAGAATCTGCACTGTGCACTCCTAAAGCCTTCCAGACGGCGAAGCTGATCACACCGACCCCACACCAGGCATAAAGTGAGCCCCACCCCAGGGCTCGCAAGGCCAGGGAAGACCCGCTCTCTGGTAAGGCAGCTGTGGCCATACTTCCCTTATTGAACCACTCAGGACTTTTCTTTTTAGCCAAGGACAATGTTGTGGCAAATCCAGCTAGCATTCCTGCTGCAGCAACAGAACCAAGGAAAATTCCACCTTTAACCAGGAAAAGCCGGTCGTCGGCAGACGCCGAGGCCTCCGGCCTAGAGGACGGCTCTGCTGCCCCGGGGTCTGCCGCCTCCATCTTTCTGAGTCTCGGTTACTGCGTCCTGTCTCTGCTTTTTAATATGCTGTCATATTAAAGGTGGGTCATAACTTTCCTTCCAAGGAGTAAGCATCTTTTATTTTCATGGCTGCAGTTACTGTCTTCAGTGATTTTGAAGCCCAGAAAAATAAAGTCAGCCACTGTTTCCACTGTTTCCCCAGCTATTTGCCATGAAATGATGGGACCGGATGCCATGATCTTAGTTTTCTGAATGTTGAGCTTTAAGCCAACTTTTTCACTCTGCTCTTTCACTTTCATCAAGAGGCTCTTTAGTTCTTCACTTTCTGCCATAAGGGTGGTGTCATCTGTTTATCTGAGGTTATTGATATTTCTCCTGCCAATCTGGATTCCAGCTTGTGCTTCATCCAGCCCAGCATTTCTCATGATGTACTCTGCATATAAGTTAAATAAGCAGGGTGACGATATACAGCCTTGAGTATTCCTTTGCCTAATTGGAACCAGTCTGTTGTTCCATGTCCAGTTCTAACTGTTGCTTCCTGACCTGCATACAGATTTCTCAAGAGATGGGTCAGGTGGTCTGATATTCCCATCTCTTTAAGAATTTTCCACAGTTTATTGTGATCCACACATTCAAAGGCTTTGGCGTAGTCAATAAAGCAGAAATAGATGTTTTTCTGCAACTCTTTTGCTTTTTTGATGATCCAGTGGATGTTGGCAATTTGATCTCTGGTTCCTCTGCCTTTTCTAAATCCAGCTTGAACATCTGGAAGTTCACAGTTGACGTATTGCTGCAGCCTGGCTTAGAGAATTTTGAGCATTACTTTACTAGCTTGTGAAATGAGTGCAATTGTGCAGTAGTTTGAACATTCTTTGGCATTGCCTTTCTTTGGGATTAGAATGAAAACTGACATTTTCCAGTCCCATGGCCACTGCTGAGTTTTCCAAATCTGCTGGCATGTTGAGTGCAGCACTTTTACAGCATGATCTTTTAGGATTTGAAATAGCTCAACTGGAATTCCATCAGCTCCACTAGCTTTGTTTGTAGTGATGCTTCCTAAGGCCCAGTTGACTTCACATTCCAGGGTGTCTGGCTCTAGGTAAGTGATCACACCATCGTGATTATCTGGGTTGTGAAGATCTTTTTTGTACAGTTCTCCTGTGTACTCTTGCCACCTCTTCTTAATATCTTCTGCTTCCTTTAGGTCCATACCATTTCTGTCCTTTGTTGAGCCCATCTTTGCATGAAATGTTCCCTTGGTATCTCTAATTTTCCTGAAGAGATCTCTAGTGTTTCCCATTCTATTGTTTTCCTCTATTTCTTTGAATTGATCACTGAAGAAGGCTTTCTTATCTCTCCTTGCTATTCTTTGGAACTCTGCATTCAAATAGATATATCTTTCCTTTTTCATTTGCCTTTAGTTTCTCTTTTCTCAGCTATTTGTAAGGCCTCCTCAGACAACCATTTTGCCTTTTTGCATTTCTTTTTCTTGGATATGGTCTTGATCACTGCCTCCTGTACAATGTAACAAACCTCCATCCATAGTTCTTCAGGCACTCTGTCTATCAGATCTAATCCCTTGAATCCTATTTGTCACTTTCACTGTGTAATCATAAGGGATTTGATTTAGGTCATACCTGAATGGTCTAGTGGTCATCCCTACTCTCTTCAATTTCAGTCTGAATTTGGCAATAAGGAGTTCATGATCTGAGCCACAGTCAGCTCCCAGTCTTGTTTTTGCTGACTGTAGAGAGCTTCTCTATCTTTGGCTGCAAAGAATATAATCAATCTGATTTCAGCGTTGACCATCTGGTGATGTCCATGTGTAGAGTCTTCTCTTGTGTTGTTGGAAGAGGGTGTTTGCTATGACCAGTGTGTTCTCTTGGCAAAACCCTATTAGCTATTGCCCTGCTTCTTTTTGTACTCCAAGGCCAAATTTGCCTATTACTCCAGGTATTTCTTGACTTCCTACTTTTGCATTCTAGTCCCCTATAATGAAAAGGACATCTTTTCTGTGTATTAGTTCTAAAAGGTCTTGTAGGTCTTCATAGAACCATTCAACTTCAGCTTCTTCAGCCTTACTGACTGGGGCACAGACTTGGATTACCATGTTCCGGGGTCCAGCCCCGGCGGAGTCCAGGGGTTCCCTTCGGATAGGCGGCATTGGCGAAGAAAAGAAAGCAGTCTTGGTTGAGTGCAGGATCAAGACTACTTTATTCTTTTACATCAGTGCTTATATACCCTAAAACCAATAATCCTTTAAAGAGGTTTAAGGAGGGGGTAATGATAAGATTGTACCAGGTGCATAATCATGGGTTACATCATAAACAACTTTCTAGAACAGTCAATACCTACACATAACTTTTAAACAGTTCAGTGGCAGCAGCTAGTCAACTGTGAAAAGCCATCTACAAACCTTATCTTGGGAAGCTCAGCCCCTGGCGGACTTAGCTCTGGTATGTAATCCTAAGGGTCAGAGGTCTCACGAATTCCCTCCTGATCACACCCTAAGGAATCCTCTCAATCTTGTAATGGACTCTATCTACTTTTGCTTATAGGATAGATAGGCCTGTTTATTGGGACCCATGTGCCCCCAGGGACTGTGTTGCTGCCATGCAAAGGTTTCAAGGAGGGATTTTAGGTAAGAGTTAGACTAGTTTTTAGGGAACATAGAAGAACGCCAAGCATCAGAAGATGAAAGGACGAAGGCCTGGGAGTGGATGGTGGGGTGGTCTCGAGAAACCCTCGGAGGTCCGGACGCCTTTGCATGCCAGCCCCTTGAACCCAAACCTTGTCATGGGCGGGGTTTCTCTCGCTGGCTCCCGACAACCATGATACTGAAAGCTTTGCCTTGGAAACGAACAGAGATCATTCTGTCGTTTTTGAGATTGCATCCAAGTACTGCATTTTGGACTCTTTTGTTGACTGTGATGGCTACTCCATTTCTTCTCAGGGAGTCCTGCCCACAGTAGTAGATATAATGGTCATCTGAGTTATATTCACCCATTCCAGTCTGTTTTAGTTCACTGATTCCTAAAATGTTGACGTTCACTCTTGCCATCTCCTGTTAGATCACTTCCAATTTGCCTTGATTCATGGACCTAACACTCCAGGTTTCTATGCAATATTGCTCTTTATAGCATTGGACTTTACTCCCATCACCAGTCACATCCACAACCGGGTGTTGTTTTTTCTTTGGCTCTGTCCCTTCATTCTTTCTGGAGTTATTTCTCCACTGATCTCCAGTAGCATATTGGACATTTACCAACCTGGGGAGTTCATCTTTCAGTGCCCTATCTTTCTGGCCATTCATACTGTTTATGGGGTTCTCAAGGCAAGAATACTGAAGTGTTTTGCCATTCCATTCTCCAATGGACCACATTTTGTGAGAACTCTCCACCATGACCCGTCCATTTTGGGTGGCCCTACATGGCATGGCTTAGTTTCATTGAGTTAGACAAGGCTGTGGTCCTTGTGATCAGATTGGCTAGTTTTCTGTGATTGTGGTTTCAGCCTGTCTGCCCTCTGGTGCCCTCTCTCTCTTACTGGGGTTTCTCGTACCTTGGACGTGGGGTATCTCTTCACAGCTGCTCCAGCAAAGCGCAGCTGCTGCCCGTGACCTTGGACATGGGGTGTCTCCTCTTGGCCGCCATGCCTGTCCTTGGATGTGTTATCTCCTTTCACCCACTGGTAATGGGGCAGAAAAGTTATTTGAGAAAATAATGGCCAAAAATTTCCCCCAAATAAGGAATGACAGTAACTCACTATTCCAAGGAGCCCAGACAACCCCACAGAGGATATTTGCCAAATAAACAAACAAGTACCTTACACACACCTAGATGCATCATAGTCAACCTGCTGAAAATATAAAATCTAGACAAAATTTCAATGGCAGCTTTGGGAGAAGAGGAACATATTATATATAGAAGAACAAAGATAAGAATTAAGGCAAACTTCTCATCAAAAACTATGTAGGCAGAAAGAAATGAAGTATGTTTTTAAGGTATAGAAAGAAAAAATTAAAAAACAACTACCAACTTAGAATTTTATACCCAGAGTAAATATTTCAAAAACAAAAGGAAAATAAAGACATTTTCAGAAAAATAGTAGGTGAGAAAATTTGGTGCCAACTGACCTGCTCTGTAATCAAGGTAAAGGGTGTTCTCCAGGCAAAAGAAACATTATCAGACAGGAACTTATATCTACAAAATTATATAAAGAGTTCTGGAAACGGTAAAATGAGTTTTGGTCATACTGTGTGGTTTGCAGGGTCTTAGTTTCCCAATCAGGGATCAAACCGGAGCCTCCTGCAGTAGAAACATGGAGTTCTAACCACTGCACCACCAGGGAATTCCCTGGAAACAGTAAAATGAGTACTCCTTTGTAGTATAAAGGAACAGATTTGGCTGCTCTCACCTTCTACAAAGGACCACATTCTGCCTATGGAATGTGGTTCTTTCTCAATAAACCTGCTTTCACTTTAACAAAAAAAGGAAAGAAAAAAAAGGGACAGACTTTGATACATGCGACAACATGGATGAATCCCAAAAGAATAACTGTGATTGAAAGGAGGTAAACAAAAAAGAGAACATAGTATATGGTTATACTTATACAAAATTCTAAAAATGCAAAACAATCTCTAGCTACAGAAAGTAGACTAAAGCTTCCCCGTGGGAGGAGAAGAGACAATGGGAGGGGATGGGTTACAAAGATTATGATGGATATGTTCACCATCTCGATTGTGGTGGTGATTTCAGGGTTGTACATATATGCCTAAACTCATGTACACTCTAAATGCATGGAAGTTATTAAATATAAACTATATATCTCAATAAAGCTAAAAGGGGAGTAAATACAAAATTAAATTACAGTGAGATACCACAAGACACCTGTTACAATGGCTTAAAATATGTTCTTTAAAGTTACAATAACAAACACTAAGGAAGTTGTGGAACTACAGTGTTGCTGGTGAAAATGCAGATGGTACAACTACCTTGTAAAACAGTTGGCAGTTTCTAAT